TGCCCCTCATTTCCTATCTCTCTTCTGTCTGCGCGGTAATAATGCCAATTAAGTTAATTAATCTAAATTAATAAAAGATTGGCATGCGGAAGACATCTTGTTCCAGGACCATCTGTTTGCGCCCTCAGAGTGGCGTCTTTTCGTGCAGTAGATGGTTTATGTTTCAGATTTCCTTATTAAATGGTAAGCTGCTTATTGGGGGACGACGTATAAGGGTTTGAAGCCAGGATTTTTTCCCTGATGGATAGAAAAAAAAGACAGAGCTGTATTCTGAAATCAAACCGATGTCTGCGGCTTTTTATGGATCCAATGTCACTTGGATGTGGTCCCCCTGGAGAAGTCAGAATGGGATTGATTGGTGAAACGCAGCGAGTGTCTTTTCTGTTTGACGTCTGATTTTACTAATGTCCTATTTTTTTAATCTTGGTTTAGTGTTCAGGATAAGGATAAGTGCATTTCAGATAAAATATACTTACCCAGCCCGCCTCGCCCCCCTAATCTAATGTATCCAGACCTCCCCCAGCCCGAGATGCATACTTGCATGCTACGTTTGCATCCTGCAGATTAAATTTTCGTTGTCCTGGCTATGCCTGTGGATCTTCCGAAGCTTCTGCTTTTTCTGGGCCCTCCGAAGCTTCTCTCTCTGGGCCCTCCGAAGCTTCTGCTATTTCTGGGCCCTCCGAAGCTTCTTTTTCTGGGCCCTTCGAAGCTTCTGCTATTTCTGGGCCCTCCGAAGCTTCTGCTATTTCTGGGCCCTCCGAAGCGTCTACTTTTTCTGGGCCCTCCGAAGCTTCTGCTATTTCTGGGCCCTCCGCAGCGTCTACTTTTTCTGCGCCCTCCGAAGCTTCTGCTTGTTCTGGGTCCCCCGAAGCTTCTTCTTTTTCTGGGCCCTCCTGTCAGGGTATATCAATCAGCACCCATAGTGCAGCTTCTGCCCGGATCACTGCACGTTATGCGCATGCGTGTATTCAGCGTGATGCCGCTAGTAATGCGCAAAAAACGTGCACACGCATGTCCTTGGCGCCAGGCGGGACTTTTTCTGGGCCCTCCGAAGCTTCTGCTATTTCTGGGCCCTCCGAAGCGTCTACTTTTTCTGGGCCCTCCGAAGCTTCTGCTTGTTCTGGGTCCCCCGAAGCTTCTTCTTTTTCTGGGCCCTCCTGTCAGGGTATATCAATCAGCACCCATAGTGCAGCTTCTGCCCGGATCACTGCACGTTATGCGCATGCGTGTATTCAGCGTGATGCCGCTAGTAATGCGCAAAAAACGTGCACACGCATGTCCTTGGCGCCAGGCGGGCTATTTAAAGATGGCCCCTGCATCTACACTTTGCTGAGAGATCTTCAGCTATTACCTGCATCTGTGTTTTCTGCTCCTGATAACCTGTTTGACCCAGCTTGATTCCTGACTCTGCCTGCTTGCTGCCTGCCTTGTGACCTCGGCTCGTCCCTGACCATTCTTCTGCTTCCTGATCTGGTACCATTCTGCTCGCTAGTGTATGACCCGGCCTGCTCCTGACTCCGCTTCTGTCACCTGCTTCTATACCATGAATGTAGACATCCATTGGTAAGCTTTCTATAGCTTACCCCCACACTTAAGCTAGTAGCAATACCAATCTAACGAAGGTTCCCACCTTACCACTAAACCCCAAAAACTGTCTATAATTTGAGCACGTTGTAATCCACTGCATGCAGATTCCAGAGATCCTCACATGTGCAGTGGATGACTCTGCTGCTTGAAGCCCGTGCTTTGTTACTGCCTCTCCACAGGGTGTATCATTGGTGAAATTCAAACATCTATGGTGGCTTTGGATACGATTGGCGCCCGTGAGGAACTTTCAAATATTGATGCTTTGTTATATCTGACTATTTGTGATTTTTGTGTGCAATAAGAAGGTTGTAATTAGGGCTGCAACAACTAATCGATTATTGAAAAAGTTTTCAACTTTTTCAATCATCGATTGAATCGGCCTCTGATTAGTTGGCCCTGTTCACGGCCCCACACAAGCTGCGCGCCGCACCTCCTCCCCACCTCACGCTCGCCGCTGCCAGACCCGCCCGCATCCACACGCCGCACCTCCTCCCCGCCTCACGCTCGCCCACATCCACTATCGGCACAGGGACGCGTGGAGAAGTAATAATATATACTATATATTATACTAGTACGGTATACTATAGTATACTAATATACTATAATGTAATATTGCTGGGATTTGTTGTAGTCCTCTATAGTAGGTGGTATTCTGCATTGTGCTGTATAATGTACAATTGCTGGGATTTGTAGTCCTCTATAGCCGGTGCCATGCTGCATTCATTGCTGTATAATTTTACACTTTTCATTTCACTATATTGCACACCACAATTTTTTTTTTTCTTTTTTTACTTCCACCGGACCAAGCTTGCTCCTGTGATGGACTACAATCTCAATACAAACTAGTAGTCCCATCACTGGAGCCATTTTTTAAAATGTATTATTTTTTATCCGATTTAATCGAACTTAATAATCGGCTAACTAATCGATTTTGAAAATAATCGTTAGCGGCAGCTCTAGTTGTAATGGAGGAGATGGATACCCAGGAACATTCTCTACATACAGATAAGCAAAAAGGGGGTCCCAGATTACCAACAGAAGGCAGTGAGATGGACTGGAGCGCTACAGCAATGTCTGGATGGAAAACTGAACTCCTGAGCAGGTTTCTGGATTCCTGAATGCAGCTAAATAGCTTCATTTTAGGTTTTGTGTGCATGCCTAAAACGTGTAAACAGACCTCCTATGTCTCTCCTTGTGTGATGGGGTGTCACCAGGGTGATGCATTTTTGGGTGTAGAGACCCTTTACCCAGCAATGCAGTCTTTCTGATTTTGGAAATGCATTGTGCTGCTTGAGCCATGATGCAGGGCATGATCTAGTTACTGTATACGGGAGGGGGTGGGGAACACTGAGCCGCTCACGGTGACATATATAATGATAAAATGGTCCCTGGTGTGCTACTCTAATTGCTTTTTCCAGCGGGATAATCACTACGCCGGCTCGGTGTAATTCTTCAGACATAACCATGAGATTCTACTAATGCTGCCATCTCCCGTGGCTGCATTTACATCCATTAAATCCTCTTTGGTGAATTATTTAATTTTGTCTTGTTGCTTCTGGTAAAGTTAATGTTTAGTTGTTGTAATACAGACCCGCAGGCTCCCTGCCCTGGACTTTCAGGGTTCATTTTGGGTTAGCCTAACTACACCAGGCAACCATCGTTGGGTCACATTCACATTTTCCGACGCGGTTGATGCTTAAGGCCAACTATAGACCTGAGACTAACGCTGGCTGAGCAAGGTAGGATCTGCGGGGACACACCTGCCCGAAACACTCGGCCAAAGAGTTGTGTTGTACCATTGGGTTCTCCTGGATGATCATCTTCTTGATGTAAGGCATGGACAGGGACTCTAGGCAACATGAAACTAGTTATGAACTACTATCCCGGTGGTATCGCACTCCACTTCATTTGAGTTCCCATCTACTCAGGAGCGTCCTCTCAGTGTTGGAGTGGGTGCGGGCAGCCCGGACACCTTCTACACATTTGGTGGGATTGTCCCCTTCTACGGTGTTTCTAGCAAGATATTCGTTCTCAAATTTAAGCTTATCACGACTACCAGCCCACCTGACGACCCCATTTATCTGCTATTCCACCTCCCCTCGACGACTGTTGGATACTATAAGAGGAGTGTCTTGCCTCATCTCCTGGATGCTGCCAAGAGACTCATTCCCAAATACTGGAAGCAACCCAAGGTCCCTGATAGGTCCGACTGGATCTCGCAGGTAAAGGTTATCCAGGAGGCGGAGGAGTGGGTCGCAAGGTGCCAGGGTCGCTCCAACATCTTTTACTCTAAATGGGCGGCGTGGCTACATTATGTGTCTCAATTACCTGTGACCTGACACCTGAGTTGTTCCTAACCACTTACCGTCCGCCGATCGTTGAAAGACAGCCGGACGGTAGTCTCCTGGATGCGGGTGGGCGTCTTTAGACTTCCTTCGTGCCCGCACCCGCCCCCTGGCGCGCACGAGCGGGAACCTGCCAGGATTTTAATATACGTTTACATACAAGCGGTCCGGCGTCTGTAAAAGACATCCGATCGCTTGTATGATGCAAGTGAGGGTGCGCCTTAACTCTGGTCGCCGTTGCTGTCCCCGCCGCCTTCCTCCCCGCGATCCCGCCAGTTCAAGCCTGCTGGTTGTGTTTGGGCTGATTGCCCGATTGGTATGTTATTATGTATGACATCCCCTGGGGGGTCTTTGTTCAACCCACTTGTCTTTTTTTTTGTGTTTTAAAAATTCTTGAAATACAACTAGAGATGAGCCAGGCATACGTGTTTAGAAAGCCAAACCTAAGCCAGGCATACGTGCTTGGAAAGCCAAACCTAAGCCAGGCATACGTGTTTAGAAAGCCAAACCTAAGCCAGGCATACGTGCTTGGAAAGCCAAACCTAAGCCAGGCATACGTGTTTAGAAAGCCAAACCTAAGCCAGGCATACGTGTTTAGGTGAGATTTTTGCTGAGACATCCTTGAGGATGGTTGATCATCTTGGAGGTCTATAGACCCCTCTGTCCCAACCAGTTTGCTGAGAGGACCAGAAGTAGCCTCCTTCTGTCTTTCAGATAATTTCCAACCTGAAGCCAATTGTCTGTAAACCGTTAGAGCGCACCTATCATCATGTGCTTCACCTTTTCCCATACATGTGCCTACCTGCCTCCATTATTCACCAATGAAGCTCCCTGAAAACCCCTCAAGGTTTTTTTGCATGTTATCCAGGAAGCATTGTCTTAATATTGTATGGCACCATTTCTGTTCTATATTGGGACACACAACTAAAAGTTGGATTGTTTGTAGAACAGTGTTTTTGTTTAAACCGAGGAACCAGCTAAAGATGGTGCCAAAAAATTTCCTTGACTTCAGTTTTTTTTAAAGGGAAGTTATATCTTTTTGACTTTTTTCTTCTTTCCCCCCCGCAGGGCACAGCATAAAATGTGAGTACACAGCACACAAAGAGGGAGTCGTAAAGGAGGAAATGATCCTGGCCAATGAGACTGAAGACAAAACCATGGTCAGGGTGGTGGTGCAGGCTCGAGTGTTGGGTAAGTGTCTTTCTCAAGGTTTTTACCTACATGGCGGTTACTGGACCACGGAAATTGCAATGTGATGGCCCAACGCTGGCACTTTGACCATTCAGGGCAAAGTGACGTGAGGCTCGGAACGTTTCGGAAACTTATTTTCTTTTATCTCTTAAAGGAGAACTATGGGGTTAGGGCTCTTCACCCTAGTTCTCAGGGTAACGGGAGGACACAAACTAGCGTCCTCCCGTTACCCTAAGCTCAGTATACCGCGAGCTACAGCTCTCGGTATACTGAGACGCTGCAGCCGGAACGGATCCCGGCATCGATGTCGAGATCCGCCCAGCTGCGTGAGTGACAGCTGGCTCTGCCTATCTAGAAGCAGAGCCAGCTGTACCCGCTCCCTCCCCCGTCCGTTCCTCCAGTCAGCGCTGGAGGATCGGAGCTGGGAGGGGGGGAATCCAGCCCCTCCCCTGTCACGGCAGAGAGCCGTGACAGGATCGAGAGGTGAGCGAACGCCGGTATGTGTGCGCTCACCTCCCGTTCTACTGAGCCGACCTGTGACAGTCTCATTGTCACAGGTCGGCTAGAACTATGAGGTGAGGGAAAAGCACTCACCTCATAGTTCTCCTTTAAGCTATTTGTCGTATGCGAGTTGTGTTTTTTGTTAGGAGGTGTGATCATTTTTTTTTTTTTCAAAAGTTTAGTCCGCCTGATCAATGAAATGTTTAGTTTTCTTTAGCCAAAATTTAAAGCAATTTATTCACCTTTCCAATAAAATTGCCCATGCATTCATACCCGTAGACCGTGAGCAGCCTCTCCCAAGTCGGTATGAAGAAACATCCGTTTAATTTTTGCTCAATTTTGAAACAAATGGTTAATGGTAAAACCCTGCAAAGTAGCCACCAGTCCAATCTCGCTCTTATGATGGACTACAATCTCAATACAAATTAATAAACTTAACGTGAGATTGTAGTCCATCACTGGAGCGAGGTTGGAGCGGTGACTACTTTACAACACACACAGGGACCATGGGGAACAAAAGTGGCCCCCCTCCAGAAGGAAGGACAGTGTCAGCACCAATTCAAGGAAGTTGAATGTATTATTCAGATTTAACTCCTGAGTTTAGTGTCACTTTAACTGGATTAAAAGTGATTCAATTGGCTGCAGTTGGTTATCTAGCTAGTTGCTCCTGAATGAGGTTGGATGAACACAGTCTGGTAAAAGCAAGTAACTTAAGTCCAAATCCCATTCGCATTGCCACGGTCTCAAAACCACAAGGTATATGTGGTGCCCAGGTGACCACACGGATGGCGTTGTGCAAAACACTGATAGTAAATAAAAGTAATTCACCGGCGCACACTTGAAGGGTTTTTAAAGCATTTCTATATTTTTTATTCAATACCCAATGTCGCATGCTGTCATATGGTGCTAACGTTTCGGGTCCGCACAGGGATCCTTCATCAGAGCGACAAACCTTTCAAGTGTGTGAATTACTTTTATTTGGTAAAAGCAAGTGACGCTGCGGAGATGTGACCCTAGACATAGGGAGGGACAAGTACTTCTGTTCGTTCTGTTATTCCACAAAACATTATATTTTTATTCTCTTGGAAGGGAATAACTGTTCTCTTCCTGCATGTGAGCTTCATCCATCAGTCAGCTAGCTGGTATGATCTAGGTGGCTCACAAGTTGATAGTCTTACGTCCCACTACCTGAAATGCTCGTCTTGTCTTCCAACATTACGGTCCACCTTCATTTCGCACCCCCCTTCCCCAACATCCTGTACTATAGATTTTACCAGTGTTGTCTTGGAATATGCCAGCCTCATCTTGGCCTGGTTTCCACACTGTCGGAGTTCTCTCGTGGCCAGTCTCTGCCATGGCTCCCCTCCCAGTCTAGACCAGATAAAAGCTTCATAGCAGCTGCTCCAATGGGAAGATTGGATAGGAGTCAATGCGAGAAATTGATATTATCCAGATTTAGATGCCATTACCTCTCAGCTAATGCAGAGATGTGTATGAGTTTCCAGCCTCCAGCGGTGTCACAATGCTGTTATACGTGAATTACAGAGCCCTGAAAATAGCAGCTGGAAGCCTGTTTGTCCCAAACATCTTTCTGTTGTTGTCTTCTGCCCTTCTGATGATTCAATAAAGTCTACAAAGTGCTCCATTGTATTAAAAAAAAAAAAAAAGTCCCCATTTCGGGTAATTAAACATACAACTGGTTTAAAATGTTTGTGAGCCCAAACAAGTTACATATAACTTATCTGAGATGCAGCCTTAAATATATATGACTGGTCAAAGTTACAATTGTAATATGTTTAGCAATATGAAAAGCCCAAAATATACTTTCTATGGGTACTAAAAGCCAATAGATTACTCCCACACGTTTTGGGTATTGGGGATCATGATCTATTGGCATGTCCTTTCTCCACGCCTCTTGAACTAGGCCCTCCTTCTTCTTACCTGAAGCCAAATTTGGAAGAAACAAGTCTTGTTTGGTTACCACCCCAGCTTCCTGAGCCTTGTGATTTCCTTCTTTTCCCTCACATCTCTAAAGAAGAAGCAACTCTTCTCGGGAGCCCAATTCTTGGCATTGTATAAATTGTACTTCTGAGGAGGCAGGGAGTGTGACAGTGGCTCCCAAGGAGGCAGGGAGTGTATTGGTACGGAGCATGGCAATGGGTCCTAGGTTAGGGAGCATGCAACGTTGCAGTGGGTTTTGAGTGAGTTTTTTTTTTTCCCCTCACATCTCTAAAGAAGAAGCAACTCTTCTCAGGAGCTTAATAATTGGCAATGTATATATTGTGCTACTGAGGAGGCAGGGAGTGTGACAGTGGCTCCTGAGGAGGCAGGGAGTGTGACAGTGGCTCCTGAGGAGGCAGGGAGTGTGACAGTGGCTCCTGAGGAGGCATGGAGTGTTCTGGTAAACCCGGTGGAAGCACATAGCGTGAAGATGGGTCCTGAGTTAGGAAGCATGTGACGTTGCGGTGGGTTCTGAGTGGAGGCAGCATGCAGTGCGGCGGTGGGTCCTGAGTGAGGAGGAACATGACACATCGGTGGGTCTTGAGTCAGGGTGCACATGATGTGGTGGTGGATCCTGAGTGAGGAGGCATGCAATGCGGCGGTGGGTCCTGAGCGGGGAGGCATAGGACACATCGGTTGGTCTTGAGTCGGGGCACGTGATGTGGTGGTGGGTCCTGAGCGGGGAGGCATGCAAGGCAGCAATGGGCCTTGTGTGGGACATTTACTTAACATTTGACATCAGAAATTACCCCCATGGACTCAATAGACTGCAAAAACATGTTGCCATGGAAAAAAAACGTTGTGCCCACCACGGTTCCATGTACCTTTCCATAGATGTCTAGTTTGTGCCAAACTTAAAGATGGAGACTCTCCCTCCAGCTATGCGCTTCCTCCCCTCTCTACAGATGGACATCACTCTCTTGTGCCCAAAGCAAATTTCTCCTAGTATATGTAATGACTGTTTTTGCTGAAACACCTTATCGATGTGTTTTTATAGCATGCAAACCGTGACACGTGGTTCCCTTTGTAATAGTGTATAGACCTCCAACGTCTCCGCTTCTCTACTTCCATCCTCCAGATAGATTCCATCACTTGTGGTTTCTTTACATGAGCAGCTTTCATCTAAACTTTCTACACTGACCTTTTAGATAAGGTGACCAGTCCCCTTTTAATAACCTTTAAATAATTCAGTGAGTCTTTTTCCTCATAGCTGAGTTCCTTCATAATTCTTATTGTTGTAGTTGCCCTCCCTCCTCCACACCTTCTTCTGCTCTACAACATTCTTTTTATTAACACTGATACAAGAAAGTATGTTGCTTGCTTTGGAAGCCTCAGATTGGCATTGAGTGCTGTGAAATCTGACATCCCAGAACATCTAGATCAGGGGTAGGCAAACTCCGACCCTCTAGCTCAGGGGTGCCCACAATGTTTTGTGTTTAAGATCTACTTTTCCAATGACGAGCTACATGAGATCTACAAACGGAAAAAAAAAACCTCCCCTGGCTCTCTCCTCGCTCTCCTGGCTGTCTCTCCTCGCTCTCCTGACTGTCTCTCCTCGCTCTCCTGGCTGTCTCTCCTCGCTCTCCTGGCTGTCTCTCCTCGCTCTCCCGGCTGTCTCTCCTCGCTCTCCTGGCTGTCTCCTCTCTCCTTGCTCTCTCTCTCCTGGCTGTCTCTCCTTGCTCTCTCTTTCCTGGCTCACCTTGCTGTATTTTGCAAACAGTGCAGCGCAACAGGCTGTGTGCAATGCAATGCAACAGGCACTACAACCCCCAGTATCCACAAGAAAGGTGTCGGGGAGCTGGGCTCAGCAGACTCAGGCTAATAGGTAATCATGTGTGCACAGCTAAATAAATATACCAAAATGGAATAAAAGGGGCCGCCATTCCCCCCCTTCCTGATCTACCAGCATCAGCTTTGAGAGCTACTGCTAGATCACCATCTACCTAATAGATGAAACCTAGTAGTGAAACTACCACCAATGCCATTGTGCATCTGTCTCTGGGATTCATGCCTGTGGTCGTCAGAGACTTGCAATGCCTAACAGGATTTGTAGTTGCACCACAGCTGGAGGACCGGAGCTTGCCTGCCCCTGATCTAGATCGTTCTCAAAATGTGGGAAAAGTTGTTATCATCCCTTTTTAAGTAGATGTAAACTCTCCCTGAATGACCTGTAAACTCTCCCTGAATGACCTGTAAACTCTCCCTGAATGACCTGTAGTTTGCTCTTGCAGTTGCCATTTTAACTCGGAATGGTTCTCTTCACCACTGACACATTGCAGCTTGTATGAGATGTTATTGATTTGGGTTCTCATCTACTTTCCAGCTCTGAATTACTATCATTGGGACTTCATCATCATTTCTCTGCCCTGTTTTGCTATAAACTCATCAGACTTATTTAGTATCAATTTAGGAGGCGATAATGATGGTGAAACGCTTTGCCCTCATGTAATATTGCAGACGTGTTAATGACTTTGTACAGCCCGACCGATCAATCCTTCCAGCTTGGATGCGGACCAAGAAGCACAGAAATATCATGTTCTGCTGCTAATGAAGCTGTTCAGTGCCATTAGAAAATCTATCGTTGATTTTCTGTTTTTAACCCCTTCGTTACGGGAGACGTACACTGTACGTCCCGCCACAAAGGGACCAAATGACTCGTCACGTACACTGTGCGTGACGAGTTATTTGCTGCACTAGAAGGCAGGTAACCGCTGAGAATCAGCGGTTACCATTCATTAATGGATGCCTCATTATAGAGGCATCCATTAATGAAAGGGTTAACCTTTTTCAGACACCTGATGCCTTAATATCGGGTGTCTGAGAGTCAAAGCAGAGCGGGCACACATGCCGGCAAAAGCCGACATTCTGACAGCTCGTATAGATCGAAAGATATCTCTCTCAAGCTATACTGTCTTTTTTTTTTTTTTCTTCACTTTCAGGAATAGAGACATAATGTCTCTATTCCTGAAAGAAGAATGTTTCAGTTTTCTGATGGTTGTTGTAACTATCAGAAAACTAGTGACCGCTGAATCCTGAACTGCTGCAGGATCAGTGTCACTAACTTATTATCGGCTGTTCTGAAGTTTGAAGCAGCCTGATAATAACCAAAAATGTATTAATTTATCAAGCAGTAATGGTGAGATGAATTCACAATGACTGCTTGATATAATTAAATAAATTAAAATAACATTTTTAAGTTTAAAATTGTGAAAAGTGTAAAAATAAAAAAATAAGTGTAAAAAAAATAAGGGATAAATAAATGTATTTATTGCATTTTTTTTTTTAGCTGTGCTGGTTTTGTAAAAAATACTACAAATCAAAACTGGGAAAAGTGTTTTTTTACGTTTTTCCTCTTCTTTTTTTTTTTTATATTTTATTTGTCCTAAAGTGAGGCGTTAGGTACACATATGTGATATAAACTTATAGCCCTATCTGTCCTCTAAAAAAACAATATATAATATGTGTGGGTGCACTTTGTAAGAAAGTATATTACTGACGTGGAAGAATCACACAGCAAAAATGTCAAAATTGACAAATTGGGCGTGGCCTGGCCACAGACAGAGATGGCTGCATGATTTGAGGCTCCCGAAGAGATCCCTCTGTAAGCAACTCACAGCAGCCACACACGCAACTTCAGATTCCCTAACCTGCCTGTTCTACTCCCCGCTGCATTGATCAGCATGACTAAGGGAAAGAATAAGCCGAAAGGACCTTGCAGGCTCACAGACTACTATCCTCCACACAGGACAGCAGGGAGACAAGATGGCGCAGGTGCAGCTCCTGTGTTTACCTCACACAGATCCCGCTCCTCACAGAGCGGCAGCCAGGACTCTGACATGGATGACAACAACAGCACTTCACCTCTGCATTCAAAGCACCTTTCCAAGAGGCCAGCTAGCTCTCCTCTCAGCTCTCCACACACCAAGGAGTCTGTGAGTAAAAAAAAATCAAACCAGCACACTCTCACAGGCCCCCCTCACAGGGCCCCCTGAACATCTAGCCCTGTTAGATGTTCCAGTCTCTAACAACGCCGCCTCAGAAGCCAGCATCAAACTTATGCTCCTGTCACTTAGATCCGAACTCCAACATGACTTCAAAACTTCCTTCACTTCCCTGCAATCTCAAGTTAATGAGATAGGGGAACGTACAGATCACATTGAAGCCAGAATGAGTGACTATGCATCAGCATATAATAGCATGGTTGATGCCTATTCTGATCAACAACATATGCTTCAAAAGCTCCAGGATAAGATAGCAGACCTTGAAGACCGGTCCAGGAGGAATAATATTAAATTCAGGGGGATCCCTGAGTCTGTCAGCCCTGCTGAATTACATGTCTTCTTACAACAAATGGTGAAGTCCCTGCTACCGATTTTCCCTGCATCAGAGCTGCTCATTGACAGAGCTCACAGGCTGCATAAACCGCAGCACCTCCCTGCCTCCATACCCAGGGATGTCATTGCTAGGCTGCACTACTACCATGTAAAAGAGAGACTCCTAGCTCTGACCAAACACTCAGCCGGCCTGCCTGACCCCTTTTCTCACATCTCACTCTACTCTGATATATCAGCAGCCACCGCATCAAAAAGGAGGGAATTTGCTCCGATTTACCTCATCTCTCAGAGAGAACAAGATCTTATACAGATGGGGCTTCCCTACCAAATTACTGGTTACATATCAAAATAAATTCATCCCTATCCTGACACCTCTGGATGGCATAGATATGCTCCGCTCCTGGGGCCTCACAATCTCCATACCTGCTCCTACAGTGCAACGTAAGACCCCACAGCATGTGGTGGTGGACTGGTCTGTACACTGAGCTTTTCATGCACTAGACTCACATGAGTCCTTTCAAGCCCACTAAGTGGCGCCTCTACCACATATCGGGATCTCTAAGCTGAAGTTTGTGTGCTTTTTTTTTCCCCACACACCCCCGGTTAATTGTGTGCTACGCACACTTTTTGAACTATGTTATTGCAATGTTTATTGCTAAGTTCTTGTTCTTATTGGTATGTTATTGTTTTCCTTACAACACAGCTATGTATTACCTCTGATTTGCCATTATATACCTGACATTTTATACCTCACCTTTTAATGAAACATCTGGTTTCTTTCACAATGTCTTTTCTACTATCTTTACCTACCAAGACACCAGTATGACGATGTTTCAGTGCCGCTGCAATCTCTTTCAGTGTCCCTCCCAGGCTCATTTTCTACACCTTTTTATCAATAATTATGGCGGTTAAGTAATAGTCCGTTTAAACGAGACATGCTATTGAAGGAAGCTGCATCTCTGAATTGTGACATATTATGTGTCCAAGAAACACACCTCAAAGAGGAGAACCCCCCCGAGTTGCAAAACCAAAAATTTTACTCACTACCTCTTTGAACACAAGGGTGTGATGATAGCCATTAAACGCACTGTCACTTTTCTACAACATGATTTATTGTTTGACCCAAACGGTAGATTTATCATACTTGATGATATATAATGAAACGAATCCGTTATAGAAGACGGTATTGTGTATGCAATGTGGTTTCTGGTGAAATGTTAGTCATTTTTGACGCCTTAACTGATGCCTACAGTTATGTATCACTTATATGCTACTTTAATAAAAATTGTCAATTATAAAATTAGCTGAAAAAAAAAAAAAAATTTCAAAAGTGTGTCAGTCATTTACCAACAGAAACTAAAAACGAGCTCAGTCATGAAGGGGTTAAGATGTACGAGTATGGCTGGATAGAATTGGCACGTTCTTGTTGCTGCTTTAACCAAGTGTTGGCTTAAAGGCCAACTCCACGCTTCTACCGCGTTTCACTCTACAGCCATACGTATGAAACGTGAAAGTATACAATATCCCCTAACCCCTCTCCAATATTAGTATAATGGCAGGGTGCACCTTCCTGGGGAATCCTGTTATGTCCGGATATTTTAGCACAACTGTGCATATCTCCTCCCACACAACTGTGTCTTCCAATTCTGTTACTGCAAGTCACATCTGCCACCCAGACAGATGGGACATGTGCAGAGCCGCATCGGCGATCCCTCCTCCGTCACCCCTGTGATGACATGGGTTATTGGTGTTGGGTTGTTCACCCCCCGGCTCTATGATTTTCACTCGCCTCATATCTCTCCTTTTAAGCAATTAATTTAAAAAAAATGGTGAAAACATTTTTAGAATTATTTTTCTTCATTAAGGGACACGGGGTAGAGGTAATGCTGAGACAACTGGGTTATACTGCGCTCAAAAAGTGGTTTGTTAGGTACCATCCCTCCTACTCCCACAATGCTTTGCTTTTCTGCTAGTGTCCTAGAGGGATGGGTTCTTTCTCTGAGATGAGGAAACCCTCTTCACTACACTTTTTTTTTTTTCCCCCCTCCGTTTTTATATCCAGGCCTTCTTATTCAATGTCTAGTCACACATTCATTACAGTCCTGCCAGCTAGTAAAATCTACACGTGATATGCGCAGTATATCTTAATTCCTATCCTGGGTCATCCTGGGACACTGTTTAACCATTTAATGTATCGAGGAAGGTAGTGGGTTAAGCATTTTGCATCGATCACAAATAAAGTTTTGCTTTTTTCCCCCCTCTCGTTTCTTACTTGCAGACCGCCATCATGGTACCCCCATGCTCCTGGAAGGCGTCAGATGTATAGGGGCGGAGCCAGAGTACGATTCGGAGCAGAGTGATTGGCACGGATTTGACTGAGTCGCAGGGATCACTGATGGACTTTCCTCTCCTTTTTAATTGTGCTGCTCTGCTTTTAAGAAACAACCAAACCTCTGAAATAGCCACGACAATAGTAGGGATTAGACGGGGGAGCCTTTTCCTCTGATGGGTTTGTTACAGAATGTCCGCGGCGGGAGAATTTGCTCACTTGGACTGGCGGATGGAGGTGAATGGGCTTTTCTGTTCCTTGATCATGTACAAGGATTTGGCACGAAATATGTGGCTTTATATATCCCCTCACTGTTGGCCCTCGTGTGCAATCTTTGGCCTGACGGGTGTCCATCGTGTCCTCCTAGCGACCAATCAGCTTCTGCTTTTATGGATGCTGGTTAGAGAATTAAAGGGAGAAGCTGATTGGTTGTGAGAGAGGAAACACACACACAAACACAACCATACTTGTCAGACACTTTATATGTAAAGTTGCTTCTTCAAGAACAGTCTCTGCACTTCCTGTGATCGTCTGATAAAGTTTTATTTGTTCAACCTGCATCTGTAATCCGCTATCAACAGCCTCCACCTGTAGTGTGATATCCCTGCTGAATATTCTGTGTAGTACGTGGTAGACGCTAGCCAAAAAAAGCTGACTTGGGGGTACAATGTGAAAAAGTTGCTGTCCTTGTTAGGATGGCCTTATGCTGCCCAGTATATGGAAGGGACGCAATGGATGGGAACATTGTAGCGCTCAGGCTGGATTGACGTTAAGGACTTCTGCCAAATTGAGGCAAAGGCAATGGGGGTCACAGCTGTGCGGTGAAGTGGCCACAGATGGCGCCACCAAATACTTGCAAAATAGAACAAATGGTCACCAGCACTCCAAGTTTTCCTTTGATTTCATTCCAACAGGTCAGATCACCATGCGTGGCAACGTTTCGGAACCTATCCAATTCCTTTGATCAGGCAAATGTATCACTTTTGTTTGCCTGATGAAGGAAACCGGACAGGTTCCAAAACGTTGCCACGCATGCTGGTCTGACCTGCTAGAATGAAATCAAAGGATTTTGTTTTGAACAAAACTTGGAGTGCTGGTGACCATTTTATCTGTTTAGAATGTAGTGGGGACACGTAGATCAATCCCTGGACCTGTCTTTAGGTTATGATGGTCAATTTCCTGGTAGAACCTTCAGTTCTTCGATTGGCTGAAGACACAGTTATTGCTCTTTCATTAAACTCTGTTTAATTATTGGTTGGCTAACAAACATCAAACTAGAATCCAGACCATCATTCTAGTAGGTTGGCTGACCTACTTGTACTCCATGGAGAGAATTGATGGGCTTCATTTTACAAAATGGTGGTCTGCAGTTTTGTTGCATCGGCCATCTTGGAAGCCATGCCGCAGTGAAAGAACTTGCTTCTAGTATCCGGCTGGCTTATCATTGCTGCTGGCCATAAAATGGTCTTTGTACATGTATGATGGGCTCCCCTTAAAGCAGAGCTCCAGGAAGTGAAAAAAAAAATTAAGCAACCCATTCTGTAAGAAGAAACATTTATGGGCAGATTTATTTCCAACTCCCAGCTTGTTAAAGTAAACCGTTCCCCAAAGAAACTTGGAATCTGCCATTGTTCTAGTGCTACTGCTTGGCTATGACTGTGGCTTCAGTACTTTATCACTGGCCTGGAACATGTAACAGTCAGATGTCTTTATCTACATTCTAATTCTTGGTAAAAAATTTAAACCAGGGGTATCCATAGAATACAGGGAGATGTGTTAAGTCTTAGTCCCTTATCTGAAAGCAGTTGAGCTGTTGGAGGACACACTGCCATAGATATTCATTCAATTTGATAGTTGTCTGGTAGAATATGCACCAGTGGCTCTCTTATCTCAGGTGAGATGAGGATGGAGTCCACACAGCCCCTGGTTCTCCTGCGGATTTCAAAGAGCTGAGTGCTCGCTGAGTGACTCAAACCCTGAGGTGTCTGTAGATAGCAGAGTCAGATGTCTTTATCTACATTCTAATTCTTGGTAAAAAATTTAAACCAGGGGTATCCATAGAATACAGGGAGATGTGTTAAGTCTTAGTCCCTTATCTGAAAGCAGTTGAGATGTTGGCGGACACATCACCATAGATTTTCATGAAACGTAATGGTTGTCTGTGGTAGACTCAGCACTGCCGACTAGCTAATCTCGGGTGACTTCAGAGAATGATGGATTTCTCAGTCTTGTGAAATATGAGCGGAGTGCCTAGCAAGACTCGTACCCGAGGTACCTGTAGAAAGAGAGCTGTGTGGTGACTTAGTTCCTTATCCATACATCTATTGGAGAAGCACTGCCAATCCATACATCTATTGGAGAAGCACTGCCAATCCATACATCTATTGGAGAAGCACTGCCAATCCATACATCTATTGGAGAAGTCCTGCCACAGTTACTCATCCAGCTGAATAGCTGCCTTTGGTAGAATCCTCATTACCAACCAGCTAATCTCGGGTGACTTCAGATAAGGATGGGACTCCACACACAGCCTTTACTTCTCCTGTAGAATTTGGGCTTCCCCAAATCGCAGGCCTCATTCTTCACTGGATAACCTCTTTTTAAATGTCAGCCCTTCCTATTGCTAAGCATCTTACATGTGACCTCCTCTCTGTCCTTTCAAAAAAAGGCTAAAATAAACAAAAGTTCAATTTTTACTCCAAAACTCTCGCAGTCTGTAGCATTGTATATTTCTGCTCATTGTTGTCATTTTCTGAGATGAAAATAAACAGATGTCGTCATATTGCACTGGAAATCAATACATTGTCTGTAATTATAAATCTACTGGGGGGGGCAGGTTGTGTGCGCGGGGTTGGCCATGGACCTAAACTGGTCCTGTAGCTGCTTAAATTGTTTAGATGGGACCTAAGTGATGGACTTTAAGTGACGACAAGTAACATCTGAACACCAGATAAGACTACCATGTCCACAGGGTAATGACGCTGTTGTGCAAGTTGGGTGTTGTAACCCCTAGGACAGAAAGTGTAAAAATAAAGAAACCAAAACCGGCTAAAGCAAGACTAATGCAGCCACCACATATAAGGACCGGTATGCGGCGATATAATATGCTTCTGTTCTCGGCTTCAGATATCCCTTAACCTCCCTGGCGGTCTGATTTATCTCCGGGTTTTTTTTCTTTTCTTTTTTTGTTCTTTTACTTTTAAATCTCCCGCCGTTTCCGCCCCCCTGCAACGTGAGCGCTCGCAAGGGACGGAAGATGCGCTGACTGGCGGAACGGGGGAGGGGGCGGGTACAGCTGGCTCTGCCTCTAGATAGGCAGAGCCAGCTGTCAGTCACGGAGCTGGGCGGATCCAAACAATTGTCGGGATCTGCTTCAGCTGCGGCGTCTAAGTATACCGCGAGCAGCAGCTCGTGGTATATTGCGGCGTCTCAGTATATAGAGAGCTAGGGCTTGCGGTATACTGAGCCTAGGGTGACGGGAGGACGCTAGTTTGTGTCCTCCCGTTACCCTAAGGAGAACTACGGGGAAAAGCCTTAACCCCATAGTTCCCCTTTAAGTCTTGTAGACCCTCAAGTTATCTTCTGACTATGAACGTATATCTATGTATGGCAACAAGGTCTGCAGCTTAATTGAACATCCTATTTGGATAGCTGATGACCATCATTATGAAGAAATATCACGGTCTATTTTTCTTCACACCTCGAGCAAAGAAGCAGCTGGAGCTTCCGTTGGCTAGATTTACTGAGTGGTCACCTGAACCCGGGCTCATATGTTCCTCTGTTGTTGCTGACGGGCTAGGTTGTCCAGTCTGATAGTGGAGAATAAAGTTTTGTGGGCCATTGTTCCACCCCAATTCCTATCTGCTTGCCTATTGTGGGACTCTACAAGCAATGGTTTTATCATTTCCTAGCTCATTTCATGGTCCTCGTTTTTTCCAGGAAGGCTCCGTAGCTCCAACCAAGTTAACGGGGGCGGGGGTTTGAGAGATGATGGAGTGGTTTCTTTACCAATCATAAACTGGGCCCCCTGGTACACGTGCATCATCTCTTTATATCCAGATGTTTCCATTATGAAGTTGGAGCCTGATATGGCTGTCCTTTGGGCCTCCCTATTGGCCATTGGGGGCTTGACCGGGAGAGGACAATTCAAACTGCAACATTACAAGTTCTGGTTGTAGTTTAATGTGTATGTCAGGGGAAGAAAAATGCACCACACCGCCTCAATACAGTCACATTACTCCATGTTTTGACTCTAAAAACACTTCAGGTACAGAAAAATAGCTGTTGATCCTGCCGGTGAGCACCCAACTTCCTGCTCTACTGAGCTCTGCTATTAGCCCTACCCAACTCCATTGCTGGACTACAGGACATTCCTGCTGTATGTTATAGGGATGAGGAGAGATGGTGAGGTATTCTGTAGTCCAAATCATGAGGAATCCACCTAGGGAGAAAACTCTGCTCCTCCATAGATACAGTACAGTAAGTGATCGTTGTCACCCTAGGACAGGAAGTGTGTTACTGGCAGGATTAACAGGTTAAGATTAACAAGCCTCTAATGACTTTTTTATTTCCTCTTCATTGGCCAAATCAGAAACTGCAAAGAGTGCTGGGGGATATCTATATTGATTTTTTTGTTTTGTTTGCATTGCATTGGTCTGACGAGACGGATTTGCATGGGGAGAGGAATAGTAAAGAGCAATCATCGTATTACACGTCTAAGATGAAAGCGCAGTCGGCCTCGGTCTTCATCCAATACGGCTGCCCCCATGTGTGCCTATAACTACAAGCGACACTCGGAAAACATTTTGATAGACAGAAAGACATCAATAAAATCTGAGATGTTCTTTTAGTCAGCTGCTGGGACCCTCTGCTGCTGTCTCCTCCAAGTTCACCTTCGTTAATTGACACTGGAAATAATCTATTAATAAACTTCTGTGCCGTCATCCCCATTCAGAAAACATACAACAGACGCCGGTCATTCCTGTCCTCTCCACACTGAGGAAGGGCAAATGTCACAAATTAAAGGGCCACTCCCCCCATGAATGATGGTTGGGTGTTTAGCGGAGTTTCTTACTTGATGGTTTATCTCTAGTGATGAGATCTGCGCTTGAGTTGCCATATTTGCTGACCCGCCATGGACATCACAAAGAGTCAAAAGCCTAAAAATAAACTTATTTGCTCCCCTTTTGACTGTTAAAGGAGAACTATGAGGTGAGTGCTTTTCACTCACCTCATAGTTCTAGCCGACCTGTGACAATGAGACTGTCACAGGTCGGCTCAGTAGATCGGGAGGTGAGAGAACACATACCGGCGTTCCCTCACCT